TTAGTTATCGATCTGTATCGTAGTTTGTAAGGCTGCATCAACTGATTGATCTCTTACGAATTATAATATAGATTAAGGTTATCGATCTTGTATTAAATAACTTGTTGTTTAAGACAATATCATCAGTTATCGAGTCTGCTAAGATTAGTAATATTTTCCTTTCTATTTTTGTTTGACTCACCAGTTATCGAGATAGAGATAGATCGGCATCATATCATCTTAATTGATCGTTCTTTGATCTGGTCACGCTTTAAATCTTATAATTGATGGCTTAATTCCGATAGATCGGCTGTTTTATCTCTATTCCAATCAAATATAGTATGCATCTAAAGACATGTTTCAATCTTGAACAAACTCACTAGTTAATGAGATCTAATCTAAGAACACTACCATAGCTGCATCGATCCGGACGAACCTCACTGGTAAGACTTTAGATTAGAAATTATCGATTAGTGGTCTTGTTCACAATGAAGATATGTACTCTGTTTGTTTGCTATGACTGCATCGGCCATTTTAGCCGATTTGCCTATACTCTCACGCATATAGCATGTTTCAATGAATCTGTCAATATATAGATGGTTTTATAGATTCTTTGGCTTTAGTTTATTATCATTATCATAGCTGCATCGACCTGATCGAACCTCACTGTTGATGATGATAGATTAGATCCAAATTGTTTGTAGATTTATTTATATTAGACAGTCGATTTGTTCACATGTTATACTCTTTTCATCAAACTTATCGGCTCGACGTTTTATATCGATCATGCTCCATTTAGCCGATGATGCTTTCTTATATCGCTTCTTATGAATAGGTCGGATATCGACTATTTAGTCGATAGCCTTACTGAATCAGCTATCTAGCAGTATATTTGGAACTGTCTGGTGCAACACCAACATGTTACATCTTAAATTACTGATAAAATTTCCTCTCCTTGTCAATTATAGGTCAAATTAACTGTCACGTCGTTGGGTTTTCAGAATCGGCTGGTTCTGTGGTGAAGCCAAGCAGATCTCTGGTCTCGTTCTATTCAGATCATCCGGCTTGCTGTGTGTTGAACACATTGCTACATTTTTGTGTCAACACACTTTTTGGCACGCCCGGTGGGACGACAATCGTCATGGCGGTTCACAACAACAAGAACATTCTTTTGGTAACTTACGAAGACTTACCTGATGAGGATAAAAATTCCATTGGTAAGGCTATAGAGGAGTTTCAAAATAAGTACTTGTTGTCATACACCAAAACATGTGATAATAAAGTCGTTCAGAAATATCCATTGCCGAGAGTTTTAATGCATGAATAGTCAGATACAGACGAAGCTGATGATATGTGTTTCTTTATAGAAGCTGTCAACAAATCTGTTTATGATACAATGCTGAATCATAATACAATTTTCTTGAATACATTCCGCAGGACTGTGAGGAGCGTGGTGCAGCAAGCTGATGGGAAGGTGGGTTCGACAATTTGCGAAAGCCCGGGTTGCTGGCCGGCGAAGACGACGGCGACAGGCTGTCCGCGTGTCCACCATGGGCCAGTTCGCTGGTCTGGTTTTCAGACCAGCCGGCTGGTCCTCCTCATAGAGTATTATTCATCAACCAGCTGCTATAGTATTTCTCTCTCACACAACCAGCCGCTATAGTGTTTTTGGCTTCTTTTTTTTCAGACAAGCGAACGGGATACATATTGTTAGCTCCGCGAAGCAGCTGACCTGAGCACCGCAACTTGTTGGGGGAGGAGCTGTGCTTCCTCCTGCTCCTGCAGGCGGCGCCAGCGCCGGCGCGGCAAAGGAAGAGGCGGGGGATGCGACCTCGGCCACGGCCGGCCGGGCCTCACGAATCACGATGATTCGCGAGTGGTCGGACAGGTCCAAACTAGCCTGTATCGGACGGTTACTCTTGCACGGAAAATTGATCCAACGTTTAGTGGGATAGCTGGTGACGTGGCCCAATACCATGCCAGAGCTCGATCTCTGGTTTCGAAAGGAAGAGATATGCAGCCGTGTATACTACTCAGAGCATAAAATCGGCACAGAATGCAACATCTGGTATTGGATTGGACAAATTTTGTTGTTTATTTAGCTCAGCTACAACAGTATATGAACGTGCTATGGTGGTATGGGGAACAGGTGTCGAAAGTTAAATACGAAATTCAGAGAGGCTTTTACTTACGTGCCATTATAAAAATTAGTAATTACCCACGAGCCACTAAAAATGTTGAGTTCTCATAGGTGACACTGCTCTGAACTCTTTTACCCTCCACGTCACTTCTGTCATATTTGACTCTAACGGTGTCAAACTGCGGGTGTAAAAAGTCAAAAATACCCTCAGATCTAAATATGTAATTAATTTTTTAGCATCTTAATGATCTTAAATAAAAAACTCAAAACTAGAAAGTTGTAAATCTCGTCGAGATTTACAATATTTTTATAAAAATTATCTTCATTTGATTCCGTACAAAAATTGTGATTTTTCTAAGACATTAATAATATCAAATCATTTTTTTTGTACAGAATTAAATGAAGATAATTTTTATACAAAAATTGTAGATATTGTCGAGATCTACAACTTTCTAGTTTGAGTTTTTTCATTTGAGGTCATTAAGATGCCCAAAAAAATTAATTGCATATTCAGACCTGATGGTATTTTGGACTTTTCACAACCGCGGTTTGACACCATTAAAGTCAAATCTGACGGAAGTGACGTGGAGGGTAAAAGAGTTCACAGCAGTGACATATGTGAGAACTCAACTTTTTTAATGACTCGTAGATAATTATGAACTTTTATATTGACACAGGTAAAAGCCTCAAATTCAAAAGTGAGGATACTTTTAAGTTTATTAGGTTCTTTTGGAATCATCCGATTAAGCCAACTTATGACGTGTAAATGCTGAATTGCACTACTTGTACATATGTTATTGCTGTGTACCACTTGAAGTGCCCGTAGCGATCTGTACCTGTGTTCTCTTTTCAGGCCACTAGTGCTGTGGTGCAAGCATCAGTACCGGGGTGTTTGGATGTGCATAGAGTATTAAACGTAGATTAATTATAAAACTAATTATATAGATTGAGACTACTTTATAAGACGAATCTATTAAATTAAATTAGACTCATGTTTAGTCCTTTTTAATTAATATCAAATGCTCGATGTGGTATCTACTCAACTTTAGTTCCTGTGGGACTGTCCCCGTAGCAGGTTCCAAGCATGAACCTGAACGTGAGCCAGCTTTGGTCATCAGAAATCAAAATTTTCACATGTCTGGGATGTCTGGGATAGCCAGCGTGAGTAGGTTTTATTAGATTTTGAGATTTTTTTCTCTGAGATTCTTAGGGATGGCTGGATTCAAACAGCCCCTAAAATCATGGCAAGGAAATTTATTTCGAAACACCATAGATGATTTATTAGGTCGAAACGGACATGTCTCATGCCTAGTTTGTAAACGGACATGTCTGCTTCATGCAATAATGTTGCAGGTGAAATGTTTGGGCAATATATAGCAGCTTGTTCGGTTGGCTGGTTCATTTCGTTACTGATTCGTAAAGAAATACTGCTGACTAGTTTATGTGAAAGAAAAATATTGTTCCAACTAAAAATTTACGATCGTATACCGCAAGCACAGGCCAAACAAACAGGCTCTAACAAATTTGGTGACAAGTGACACCTTGCAACCATGTTTTGCTGTGTCGTGGTGGACAGTGGACTTGACCATAGCAAAGCCCAAACAACCCCAAGTAGTTTCTCACAAGGCAGAAACATTAGTATTGCAAGGTTAGTTGCAGCGAGTTCCTGTGAGGCTTATATGAATGGACACATATTCATCTCAATACACGTATGTTAAAGTGGATTAGAGTAGAATTAAATTAAATTTCATTCCATTTCAATTTAAATTAGAGTGAATACACGTGCATCACACATGACATAATAGTATGGAATTGCAAATGGCATTAGCATAGTGTTCTCCGAAACCACTACATTTGCACATGCCATTGGAAGCCATTGCCATCCACAAAATATACATGCAAGCCTTTCTTCCAGCTAGGAGTAAACTAGATAAAACGAATTGGAAGCTAGTTTTAGCGTAAAATCAGCCCAAGAACGAGGCTGGAACACTAAACTCTGGGAGACGACGAGCTAGCAGAGCGCTGCAGCTGCGGGGCCGGAGCTGAATCGACCACGTCGATGCGGACCCTGAGGTGCATCTCCTTGCAATTGGACGGCCCGCTCAGCATCGGCGGCGGGACGTACAGCGCCATCCCCTCCTCGACGGCGGCCCCGCCGGACACCGCGCAGCTCGCCACGTCCGCCTCCATCATCAGGCGGCGGCCCGTGTTGCCGGGGGGCATGCTAGGGACGGCCGTCGGCGATATCGCCCAGAGCATGTACGTGAACCGCGGGCCGGCCTCGGCGGCGGCGCTCGTCCTGACGCACGACACCGAGACGGCGCAGCTGGCCGCGCCGGAGCCGCCGCACGGGCGCACGGACAGCGCGAACAGGCTGCGCTCGTCGCCCTCCACGACCAGCAGGCGGTGGTGCTGCTGCTGCGGCTGCGGCTCCGACGCCGCCGGCGCCGGGACGCGGAGCGGGAGCGCCTTCCCGTAGGTGGGGAGCGTGTCGAGGGGCCAGGCGTGGTCGACGGCGAGGTGGTCGCGGAGCCTCGGCGGGGTGGCCGTGAACGGGCACCCGGGCACCGCGCAGTGGCAGGGCGCGTAGGCGCACGCGTCCTGGTGCGCGGCAGTCGCGTGGTACGCGACGGAGGCGCCGCAGCCGTAGGACTTGAACGGGCACGGCACCCTGGCGTCGCCGACGAACAGGTCCAGCTCCGGCCCACAGTGGGCGAAGGCGGTGGCGTGGTCGCACTTGCGGCAGTGGCCCCCGTCGAGGCAGGCGCCGCACTGCAGCCAGCCAGAAGGATGAAGACGACACAGACGTGGCGCAAAAGAATCAATCTTCGTTCTATCCAATCCAAGGCCATTGAAGGAAAACAAACAAACCATCTGTTGCCTAGATTTGGTTGTCGCGACATCTCACCTTGACTACGGGAGGCTTGAGGGGGCGGTGGCACTCGGCGACGGCGCAGTGGAGCAGGCTCACGTCGACGCTGATGGTGATCCGCGGCCGCTCCAAGGCTTGGCTTGCCTGCTCGGCCGCCGCGGCTTCTTCGTGTGATCCTCCGCCGCCGTGGGCGTGGGCTACGCCTCCCTGCTCCGGTTCTTCCTTCACTCCGGCACTCAAGACCGGGCAGCTGGAGCCGGACAATACCACCTTGGTCTGCTGCTCCTCGGCCATCTCCGTCCGCGTCAATGGACTACTAGTACTACTAGTATATTGGCCTGAGAAGGGGACGCTGGAGGAGACTTTATACGGAGTACAATACAACCTCAAAACATTCGGAAAGATTTGTATCACTGCATCTACAGTCTCGCTATAGTAAATCGGTCCGTGCCAGATAATTAGCAGTTTTAGCGTTTGCTTTTATTAGTAGCACGTAGGTGTAGTGTACTCCGTTCAAATTTAAGTAGCTTACTCCCTAATTAATGTCTTTTTTTTCTACCATAAATTTGACTGGATTGGTACAAAATACGTACAACATTTATATCTCTAAATAAATTTATTATAAAAATAAATTCAACGATCTATCTAATGATATAATTTTATACCACAAATAATAATATATTTATATATATTTTTTGTTAAAGTTATTTTTTCAAAAAACAAAAACTACGGATATCTTTCTACAAACAAATAAAAAAAAGATATACTCCCTGCTTTACGGAGAGTGACCACATATGCGTGCAATGCATCATGCAATTAGCAAGAGTTGGATTGAGTGGCTATGCAATCAGTACGTGATCACATGATCTACTGTACATCCCTAGACTCTTGCTTGCGTGGAAAAGCTTCAAAAAAAATATTCAAATGAAACTCGGTTTTCCTGGAAGGAGCACTGGTCCAAAAGCGATAGGGTCGTTCGCTCGGAAGAATTTAGAAGACAATCTGAGCCTCGTTTAGATTGTAAATTTTTATAATTTGGGCACTGTAGCATGTTTTGTTTGTATTTGACAAACTTTGTTTGATCATGGACTAACTAGGTTTAAAAGATTCGTCTCGTGATTTACAACCAAACTGTGTAATTAATTATTTTTTTTACCTACATTTAATGTTTCATGCATGTGTCTAAAAATTGATGTGATGAAGAGAAAGTGAAAAAACTTTAAATTTTGAGGCAATCTAAACAAGGCACGAATGCTAAAGAAAATCAGTCCTGAAAAATGACTTTCAACCCGATGAATAGTAGCAATTTCGTCTTATTTGATAAATATTGTCCAATCGTGGACCAACTAAGCTCAAAAAATTTATCTCGTGATTTTTAATTAAACTGTATAATTAGTTATTTTTTTATCTATATTTAATGCTCCATGCAAATGGATAAAAATTGATATGATGAAGAGAGAATGAAAAAACTTGAAATTTTGAGGGTATCTAAACAAGTCCTCAGCAGTGAACCGTAAACTTTTTGCACCAGCCGAATGGAGCCAGGATGTGTGCTCGTCAGTCAACACGGCCACAGGGGAGCTGCCATTGGCAGGTGCTGTGGTTTTCCTCTGTCACCGTGGCAGGTGCTTTCCTCTCCCCCCAGTCAGGCAGGCAGTCACGCAACGCCAACGCTGTACTAGGCCTGTAGCAATAGTGATCCGGTTCCTCCTCATCCACACCAGTCGACCAGCAAGGCGAGATGATCCAACAACCGCGACCGCCGTCGATGGGGAGCGACGCGCCCGGCGGCGAGAGGGCCAAGGTAGCGCCGCCGCAGCTGCTGGACGTCCATGTGGCCAACCAAGGCCAAGAAAGCAAGCCCCGGGAAGCTGGTGTGACTGTTTCGTTCGGAGCCCGGCCGGCGGTGCGGCGGCGCCGCGTCCGAAGCGGCTGACGACGGTGCTGGTGGTGGACAAGGCCCGCCTCTGCTGCTCGCTGTGCTCCATCTACCAGGTCAGCGACATTGCAACGCAATACCCTACCCTCATCTCCCCCTCCAATTTCTCAAAAAAATTCGGTTCTTGTTTACGCACTGGCTGATTGGCTCCCGGTGCGCGGTCGGCACTTGGCGTGCGGCGGCTGCCGCATGAAGCTCCCGATCAACGCCTGCCGGACGTGCCGCGACCACGGGGCCGCCTCCGACTACGCGCTCTGCCCCGGCCTCGACGTCTTCTACGGCGACCTCCACCTGCCGTGCCCCTACGAGCAGTTCGGGTGCAGGAGCTACATCCCCTACTACAGGGCCGCCAGCCACCAGAGCGCGTGCGAGCACGCGCCGTGCCTGTGCCCGGAGCCCGGCTGCGCCTTCGCCGCCCCGCCGCCGGCGCTCCTCCCTCACCTCGCCGCCGCCCACTGCTGGCCCGTGCACAAGATCCCCCGCTACGGCGCCATCCACTCGCTCCGCGTCCCGGCGTCAGTGCCGGACCGCCTCCTGGTCGTAGGGGAGGAGCAGCAGGAGGAGGAGGACGACGACGAGGAGGAAGGTAAGGACGACGCGGAGGCGGAGCGCCCCGCCGTGTTCGTCCTGTCCTTGCGCGAGCGCGGCGCGGCCACCGCCGTCTCGGTGGCGTGTGTGAGGGCGAACGCCAGGGCGGGGCCGCAGTACAAGTGCGTGCTCTGGGCGAAGGCGCCCGCGCGGGCCCTCGCCTGTGCATGGAGACGGACGTGCCAAGCTGCGCGGCTCCCGGCCAGGCCGTGACGGAGGACGCCATGTGGCTCGGTGTGTCGCCGGTGATGGTGCTCGGAGCGTCCAGGGAGATCCACCTCGGCGTTCTCATTGACAAGCTCTGATCGCCTCGGGGCTGTGCTGCCTTATCTCCTCTGTCGCCGGCTAGATCGGGAGAAGAATTCATCCATCCCAGTTCAATCGTAGGCTTTGGATTGTGGTTTGTAAGCGAATATGCGATAGATCTCGCTACTGAACTTGTTATGGTTCGGCTATGGAGTAGCTCCATCGCTACTGAACTTGTTATGGTTCGGCTATGGAAATAAGTTGTGTGTCCATCCATACAAAAATGCAGATTCTAATCAAATTCTGGGCAATTCAATTCTCCTTCAAAGCAATTGCTGGAGCTTTATTACTTGAATTTTGACTCAAATCATAGGATACAAACGGGCCCTTGTATGAATTTGTAGGACCATCTCACCGCTAAAATAATTGACACAATGATGATTCCAAATGCAAAGGTGATGAACTTTGTGTTTTTTTTGCAACAAATTAGCATTGGAGATCACAATATTTCAAGTCATCTAGTGCCGAAGTAATCGTTGGGATGTTTAGACATTGCATCGATTGTTTTGACACCAAGATGGATTCTAGATTTTTTCAAGCCTACGATCTTCATATAGGCCTCGTTCGCTGGTCTGAAACTTGTCTGAAACTGGCTGGTTGTTGTGAGAGAGAAACACTGCAGCGGCTGAAACTAGCTGGTTGATGTGAGGAGGACCAGCCGGCTGGTCAGCCAGACCAGACCAGCGAACATCGCCATAATCTCTATCCAAACTCATGTTAAACAATTATGTTTTTTATTTGGAAAAAAATATGATATAGCAAAAAAGGAATTCGCGCCATATGAAATAGCAAAATAAAATATGATCATCTCAATGGCTAAAGGAATATTTCTACATTTATTATATGCATAGTTATTTTGCCGAAAATAAAAGTATGAAGTAGTCTACTACCTCACAGAACTTGAAATTAAAACTCAATTTATATATCACGGAAGTTGAAATCAAAGCTCAACTTATATCCAGAGAAACAAAAAGTCTTAATAAGGAGAATGGATCAATTAAAAATAGTTACGTAAAATAAATCACACCATACATTAGTTTGTACAGTAGGTTGCCTCTATGTGTGCGGGGCACGGATTCTGGGATTTTCTAGCTGAGGTGAGAAGTTCTCTGCCTCAGGCCATGTGTTCTCTGCCTCATGCCATGTTTAGTTCTCCAGATTTTCTAAATTTGGCACTATGTAAAAAAAAGATTTCTCGTCACATCAAATTTACGGTACATGTATGGAGTACCAAATATTGACGAAATAAAAAACTAATTGCACAGTTTGGTTGTACTTTGCGAGACGAACGTTTTGAGCCTAATTAGTCAACGATTAAACAATTATTAACCAATAAAAACAAAACGCAACAGTGCTACCGAATCCGGCGGCGCCGAATCCGGCCTCAACTAAACATGGCCTCAAACAAAAAGAGCATCCACAGTGTGTGGTTCTAGGCTGGTTCCATATATTAAATGCGAGTAGTTCTATACACGGTGTACCCGGTTCTATGAAGAAGCTGGTGCTATGCATCAAACCCGCTCCCATCCTCTTCTCTTGCGCATGGGAAGTTTAGGGCCTGTTTAGTTCAAAAAAAAAACTTTTACGTAGTATCTATAACATCGAATTTTGCGGTATATGCATGGAGTACTAAATATAGACGAAAAAAAACTAATTACACAGTTGGGTGAGAAATCGCGAGACAAAACTTTCGAACCTAATTAGTCCATAATTAAATACTAATTATCAAATACAAACAAAAATGCTACAGTGGTCAAAACCCAAATAATTTTGCATCTAAACGCGCCGAGGAAAGGAGGGGAATGGGATGAAGGTAATGATCGGTGGCCCCACTTATGCATGTAGACCCGGTTCTACACATTGCAAGCCAAGTATCAGACGCCATCAAATCATCGTGGGACCCACCCAAAAGGACGACCCCGCATCGATACACTGCGGATGCTCAGCCCTACCTTTCCCCGCACGACAAGTCCGCTCTTCTCTGCCTCCTTCAAACTCTGGCCCGACAGTCGGGTGGTGCTGGTGCGTGTTCAGGCAGCGCCCCTACTACGAACCCAGCAAGGACAAAGCGCTTCTCCTTGACGTTTTTACATGTGTGTCATTAAAAAAATTTATAATTATATATAGATTATTAAAAAAGTTGACCGTACATATATGTCACCGTTTTGAACTTCTTTGCTCTCCAAGCCATTCCATTCCCATTTCATTCGTTTTTCACCATTTGAGAGTCCTGACAAGTGGATCAGGTCAATCAAAACATCCATAATACCCCTCTCATCCCTATTCTCTCTCTATCTCAAACTCGATCTCATCTCTCTTCTCCACGCGCGCCCCCGGCGGAGCTCGCCCGCGCCCGCGGCTGGCCGGGGCAGAGCTCGCCCGCGCCCGCGGTGGCCGGCCAGGGCTGAGCTCACCCGCGCACACCCGCGGAGGCCGGGATGGACCTCCTCGCGTCACCTCCTTGCGCGCTGCGTCAGATCCACGACGAGGACCGGCTGCGGCAGCTCCACGCGCGCCACCTCCTGGCTCTCACCGCCGCCGTTAAGGACGAGGCCGCCTCCCTGCACGCTGGGGCCCTTGACGTCGCTGTCGGGGCTCGTGCCGCTGCTGCAGCTCCCCGCCATCTCCTTCTTGGCCAAAGCGGTGCGGGAGGTGCGCCTGCACCTCGCCCGAGCGCGTGGCTGACAAACGGACCCCACGTAGGGTAAAATGGTCATTTCACATGTCTGTTTGACACCGTTTAGTAGAAATACGGACAGAATGCCTTGGAGAGCAAAAAAAAAAAGTTTAGAACGGTGACATATGTGCGCGGCCAACTTTTTTAATGATCTGTGTGTAATTTCAAACTTTTTTAATAGCACACGTGTAAAAGCCTCCTCTTTTGAGGCGTTCGTCGGCAAGGCGAAGCCGGTTCTTCGGCCGGCCACTGTCGCCGCGTGCACCAGCGGCGGGGCACCGGAGAGCTACCGCGGTGTCAGGCTCCGCAAGTGGGGCAAGTGGGCGGCGGAGATCCGCAACCCGTTCACCTGCAAGAGGCAGTGGTTCGGTGTGCCCTCCGCGGCCTACCTGTCCGCCTCCCGGAGCTTCGCCGACGAGAAGCGCTGCCGCCGCGGGCAGCCTGTGCCCGCCGCTTCCTCACCAGCTACTTCGGCAAGCGCCGCCACCCCAACGGCGTCCTCTTCGTCGTCCACCTCCACCGCTCTGTACGCGCACCCGTCTGTGGCGACCCTTGCCGCACGCCCTCACGGCACACCAGCGACACGGCCGTGGCCGCGCCGAGAGCGCACGGCGACATCAGGAACACGCACCCGTCCGCCTTGCCCACCAGGACCTGCTTGTCCTCGGGGCCCCGGACGGCGAGCTTGCACGGCTTCGCGTAGTCGACCTCGGTGACGTGCCAGCCGTGGTGGATGGAGAAGTGCTCGGCCAGCCTCGCCGGCGAGGTGGAGTGCCCGCAGCCAGGGTCCGGGCAGAGGCAGGGCGCGAACCGGCAGTAGCGGTGGTGGTGGTCCAGCGCCTCGTAGTAGACGACCCAGCTCGTGCAGCCGTACGCCTCGTAGGCGCACGCCACCTTGGCGTCACGCACGATCCCGTCCAGCTTGGCGCAGGAGACGTAGGTGCCGGCGCCGGCGCAGGCCTGGACGTGGCTGCCGCGACAGGCGCCGCACACGACGTGGCCGGTCTCGCACTGCGACCCAAAACAAAGGCAAGAGTTTCAAGAATCAAATCAATCCAGCATGATATCAACATTTCTTAGAAGACAGAATTCTTCCCCTCCAAATAGGATTCAAGATTTCATCCTAACACAAAAACCCCCAATCCAAAGAAAGGTTCTTTTTTTTTTTTGTTCTGAATGCGAAAGAAAGGTTCTTGATTTCCTCCCATAAAAGTGAAAAACCCTCTTCCCATCCACAAAGAAGAACCCCTCTCCATCTGAAAAAAGACCCCGCCAGAGTTTCCTTCCACAAGGTTTTCGAAAAAAAAAAGAATTTCCTACCACAAATCTTTGCCCTCAATACCGATAATAAGCAGGAGCAGCTGACCTTGAAAATCGGGGGTCTGAGGGGCAGGACACAAGCATGACAGTGGAGGAGGGACACGGGCATCCGGATGTTGATCTGCGGCTCCTCCATGGCTTGCACCACCGCCACCAGTGCTCCCTCTCCCTGCCCGCCTTGGCCTGCCTCTTCTCCTCCCTGCCCGCGCTGCTCCTGCTTGACCTCGCCGTTGGGTATGGCTAGCGCCCTGCACTTCTTCGCGCCGTTAGCGGTCTCGCCGTCCAGCTGCTCAGCAACCCTCTTCTGCTACTTGTAGACTTGTACAGTATTACTACTAGTGGAGCGGGTCCCTTGTGTGAAGCGCGTGAATTTCAGAAGGAGAGCAGTCCCTTGTTTGAACGGCGTCAATTTCTCAATTTCAGGGCCTGTTTAGATCTCTTCCAGTTTGGAAAATGGACACTGTAGCACTTTCGTTTGTATTTGGCAAAAATTATCCAATTATGGACTATTTAGGCTTAAAAGATTCGTCTCGCCAATTACGGACAAACTGTGCAATTAGTTATTCTTTTTACCTACATTTAATGCTCCATGCATGTGCCGTAAGATTCGATGTGACGGGGATAGCAGTAGTACTAGTTTTTTTTTAATCTAGCAGTAGCAATGGGCCTAGTTTAGACGAGTGTTATAAATCAGTATTTGACACTGTAGCACTTTCGTTTGTATTTATAATTATTGTTTAATCATAGTCTAACTAGGTTTAAAAGATTCGTCTCGTAATTTATAATCAAACTGTGTAATTAGTTATTTTTTATCTACATTTAATACTCCATGCATGTATCAAAGATTTGATGTGATGGAGAGAGAGTGAAAAAACTTGGAATCTAGGCCTTGTTTAGATTCCAAGTTTTTTCACTCTCTCCATCACATTAAATCTTTGATACATGTATGGAGTATTAAATGTAGATAAAAAAATAATTAATTACACAGTTTGATTGTAAATTACGAGACGAATCTTTTGAGCCTAGTTAGACCATGATTGGACAATAATTGTCAAATATAAACGAAAGTGCTACAGTGTCATACTGATTTCCAACCATCGTATAAACAAGGCGAAGCCAAATTGTCGGTCAAACTTCAATTCTGGTTGAGCACGCAATGGTGAACGGCAGAATAGTATATAGAAAGAATTAGGAAGGGATGATTAAATGGTATATTTTCGTTTCTTGAGAAGTTAAATATGTTTACCTTTAACTAAATATTTATATTTATAACATATGATTAGTATTATTATTAGATAGATCGTTAAATATATTTTTATAATAAATTTATGTAAAGATATATAAATTACCAGTATTTTTAAAATAAATATATTTTTATAATACTTACGAGTCCTATAGTGATTTTTTTATGGGACAGAAGTACATATATGTATACCCGATCTTTCATTTTTATTATTTGTCGTTTTACCATGCAAACAAGGCCGAGGTATGTTTGCTTCTTGTTCGTCACGTGTTAAGGGTTTTTGAGGGCGTGTACTACTTCGCTGGTTTCAGTTTATTCTCTCTTACATAACACTATTAAATCATTTGAAATAATCCAAAATTTACTGTTCAACCTACCAGCCCAACGAGGGTTTCTGGGTTACGTTCGCTGTGCATACCCATGTGTCAGTATTGGAATTGCAGTCTCTTGAGAAATTGGTGTGTTCTGGTTAAGTTCGTAGTTACTCCTACAGTGGTGGACTGGGATATATATAGCGACCTACAACATGTTCGTTTGGTCGTATTTAGCTTATAAGCCATGACTTATCAGCTAATAAATAATATTTTTTTCTCTCATATCAAATCAGCCAACGGTACTTTCAGCTATGACTTATAAATCAAACCAGCCCAAACGAACAGTACGCTATACTAACCATTTGCAGACTGATGGAGATGCTATTCATCAATCAAGTGACTAATGTTTTTCCTCTGTTCGCTTAACGTGTGTCTAAATGGCCATCTGAACCCTGAATCCCAAAGTTCACTGGACACTCGATGATCCTAAAACTATGAATCCTAGCGCCTATCTTGATGTCAGGAGTAAACTTCATGATTAGTCCCTAAATTTGCCCTTTGTATGATGGTGCCATTAAAATCCCTAACTCCCAGAATTTTGATAATTCATTCCCCAACTTGTACAATGGTGTAATTGATGTTCCGAAACTTGTCATGGACATCATCATTGGTTCAAATTAGATGATACTCCACGCATTGCTGCAGTAACTTTGTAACAATTTATAGTCAATCCATGAAAGAAAATATATATGGTGTTTTTATTTTAACCTTTGATGAAAAGTCAAACTAATAGTTCATCTAGTGGTAGATATATTGGTAAATAAATATTGCTTTATAATGCTCTATTATAGCTGAGTCTTGGCATAAACTGTAGTAATAATTAATAACTACATCATCGAAAAAGAAGTAAAGAATGACGTATGATATATTGACAACCCAAGTAAGAAAAGCTATATGAAGTTAACTATAAAGGGTATGTTGGAATCTTTTGCTCAATCAACTGGTCTTAGAGTTAACTATATGAAGTCATGACTGGTCCCTCTAAACCTCTCACATGACAAAGCCTGACAGCTGGCTAGAGTCTTCGGTTGCAAGTTGGAAACCCTCCCTTTCACCTACTTTGGGCTGCCATTGGGCACCACTAAGCCAAGAGTGGAGCATTTTGGATTCATCATGAACAAGGTGGAGAGAAGACTCACTGCCACTTCAAATTTCCTCTCTCACGCTGGAAGATTGGAACTAGTTAATTCTTTTATTTCTTCTCTTCCTACATATGCTATGTGTACTCTGTAGCTACCTGTCTCAGTCATCGATTACATTGAGAGAGCAAGAAGGCACTGCCTATGGAGAGGGTCTGATAGTAATGCTAAAATGAAGTTGCTGGTGGCTTGGCCGAAGTGTTGTAAACCAAAAAAGAAAGGTGGACTGAGTATTATCAACCTAAGAAGTCAAAATTCTGCCCTTCTACTTAAACATCTAGACAAGTTCTATAATAAGAAGGAAATTCCCTGGGTGAAACTTATTTGGCATGCTCACTACTCTAATGGAGACATCCCACATGCCTCTACTGATAGAGGTTCCTTTTGGTGGAGGGATGTCCTGAAGCTTTGTGACCTTTTTAGAGGGATTACTAATAGCAAAATTGGAGATGGATCAACCATTCTCTTCTGGTTAGATCTATGGAATGATAATGTCATGCAGATCAAGTTTCCAAGGCTCTACTCTTTTGCAAAGAACAAGAATATCTCAGTCTCATAATTTCTATTAAACAATAGCCTCCCGTCATAATTTCATCTCCCATTGTCTGAACAATATTATCATGAATACCAAGGTCTTCATGAATACATACAAATAATTCAGGTGGAGCAATATACTAAAGATTCTTGGAGTTACTTCTGAGGAAGCAGCAACTATACGTCATCTGGATTCTACCACCTACCCTACAAAAATTTACAGCCTCTTGCTCCATTTCTCTGGATTTGGAATTCAAAGTGCTGCAACAAACTCAGATTGTTCTCCTGGCTTCTACTCATGGATAGACTAAATACTAGAAACATCCTCAGGAGAAAAAAAAGCACAAATTAGAGGGCAATAATTACAACTGTGTTCTCTGCAACAACAATGTTGAGGAAACTGCTCACCACCTATTTTTCAGTTGCCCCTTTAGCCAGGAATGTTGGCAGCACTTGGGAATCCAATGGAACCTTCAGAGTGAATTCTTTCAAATGGTGATACAATCAAAACAGCAGCACCAAAATCCTTTCTTCATGGAGACCATCATTGCTGCCTAGCATATTTGGAAGCAGAGAAACAACTTCATATTTGATAGAGGCCGTCCTTCTTTTTCTTCTTGGAAAATCCTCTTCTATGAACAGGCCAAACTTCAGGCTTTTAGAATGAGAGATGATAAACATGTAGCTTTTCTCCTCTATTTAGATCTCCTCTCTTAGGCCTCCCTGGTTTTTGGCCTGCAGTTCCCTTCCCGCCGTGGCTACCTCAGCCCCTCGGCTGGTTGGTTTGTTGTTATTTCTCTATCTTTTGTACAGGTTTCAGTTTTTATTTAATATATTCCTACAGTGGGGGCTTCCCCTACTGTATTTCCCGTTCAAAAAAACAATTCTACCTTGCAAATAAATCTCTCTAACTTTAAGCATATCATACCATACAGAGGAATCACTCAATTTATGTGTAACACTATGAATTGTGTCCTTTTTCAAATATTTATATCTAATGATATCCATGCCATAGACCTTTTTCATTTTCAAGTTTCCACCACCACTTGCTGAGAAGGCTAATGTTCATTTTTCTCAAATTTTTTATTCCCAAGCCACCTTTCTCCTTACTTTTGCAAATCTTTTCCCATTTAACCAAATGATATTTCTTTTTTGTGCCTCCACCTTTCCAAAAGAAACTTCTTCTAATTTTGTCTAATCTTTCCACTACTGTTTTGGGTAATAAATATACCAACATATGATAGATTGGAGAATTATTCAAACTGGCACTAATGAGAGTGGATTTGCCAGCAATCGACATACACCCACCTTTCCACACATCCAGTCTCTTGAGACTTTTATCAATAAGTAGAAGCCAATCAGCAACATGGAGTTTACTTGGACTTACTGGAACCCCAAGGTATTTGATAGGGAACAAGCCAATTTGGCAGTTAAACAATTCAGCATAAGCTTGTCCTAAATTTCCTTCATCATTTATCATAATGACTTCACTCTTATTAAAATTGATTTTTAATCCAGCCATCATTTCATAAACATATAGCAGAAATTTTATATTAACAGCCCCTTCCATATCATACCCCATGAGGTATAATGTGTTCAACCAGACCAGTGATTAGACTATTATGCTGAGCTTTAGAAACCATTCTAGTTAAATAGTCAGCAATTAGATTGAAGAGAATTGGAGATAAGGGGTCTCCTTGTCTAACTCCTTTGTAGCTCTTTATGTAAGGGCCAATGGAATTATTCACTTTAACATTCACTGTCCCCCCTATGACCACTTGCTTGATCCAGTTGCACCATTTCTGATTAAAACCTCTCTTCTCCATACACTCAAATAACAAATTCC